GGGAACCTCTGGTTGAAGAGCTTCCCCAGAAGGATGGCCAGAGCACGAACCAGCTTCGGTGGCCTGCCCGAAGTGGTGCAGGCCTTCTTCCAGCTCCAAAAGGGCTGGAGGAAAGGTTTCGTCAATGGACACGCCGAAGTAGCCCATTGAATCCGGCCCAGGGCTTGTTCCACCTCCTTGCTGGTAAAGATGTCCCCCTGGGCCAGCCGTTTGAGAGTGGCCAGGATTATGACGTGCTTGACTGGAGCCAGCAGCACACAGGGCGTGATTGGGTCCACCACGAATCCCAACCAGGTATTGACCGGGGAGAGCGCCGTCTTCTTCCAAGAAAGCGGGACTCCCAGCGCCAGAAGAGTGGCCAGGATGGCTGTGGCGTCCCAGTCCGCCCTGCTGCATCTGAGGACCCAGCAGTAGTCGTCCACAAAAACTAAGTGCCAGTCCACCTGAGGGAAGATGTAGTACAAGAGTCTGAGCACCAAGGATGCCTTTCTTCCCCAGTACAGTTGTGCCGAGGCCATGCCGTACGTGCCCACTCTATTGACCCACCACCGGTTCTGGATGCAGGCCACCTGGTATTTCCAGTCTTTCTGGAGCACTTTTATGCGCCTGTGGGCCTTGGTGACATCCGCCTTGAGGATGATGAAGGTTTCCCCCTGTGTCGGCGGCTGCCACGTCAGGGGTTCCCCCCTGCTCCCCCCAGGGCGTTCCGTGCCTGGGGGGGTTGGGGGGAATGGGGCCCTCCTATCAGGGCCCTCGGCACCTGGGAGTGGCCCCTTCCCTGAGGGTGTTGACCGCGGAGAGACGTCCAGGCCGCCGGAGGTCTCCATCATCCGCCTGCCCCTATCAGGGCCCTCGGCACCTGGGGGCAGGCTGGTGCTGTGGGGGTCCCTCTCAGGGCCCTCGGCACCTGGGGACTGCCCCTGCACCGGCTGGTGAACATCCCGAGGTTCCTCATCAGTGCCCGAGGATGGGGCTCGGAGTAGATGAGGATGGTCCGCCGCTGTCCTGAGCCAGTGGATGGCATGGAGGCAGTCTCCAACCATCGGTGCGGTGGTCTTCTCCTCCGTGTGAGCCTGGATGTGTGCGTTTGCTCCCCCTTTTGAGCCATCATAGATCGTCCTGATCTTGTCCGACTCATCAATCCCTGCAAGGGGGCCCGGGCAAAGTTCCTCCGGTTTGCAGCGGCACCTCTCTGCCGCCTCGGAGCGAGTGAAGGGCCCGTCCACCATGTCCAAGGCTCGTTCCTCGTAAAAGGTTGATTCGATTTCCTTGGCAAAGAGTTCAGCCGTTGGGTAGTTATCATGAGCCACTGGCGGGGGGGGATCTTCCCCCAGCCATGCCTCTCCCTTAAGCTCCTCCTTAGTGGGCCAAACTCCCGGGGAGGTCAAGGTAGGGTCCGAGACTCCCAAGGGGACCCCCTCTTTCAGTGTAGGGGGAACTCCCAATCAGGGTCACCTGAAAGGGATGCCAAGTGCGACACTAAGTCCAGGAGGAAGGGTTGTCCTGGGCATCGTTCATGGAGGTGCCTCGGTCCTAGGATAGCCCGCAGCTCCTCGAGGTCGGTTTCCTGGAAGGGGTGTGTGGTGGCACCTGATGCCAGGGACATCCGGACCTTATCAATCCAGGGCCTGGTAAGGGTCATGATCAGGGCGCCCAAAGTAGCCAAAGGGGAAACTCTCCGAAAAGGGGGGTTGAGCCTCCCCGGGGAAGGTTTCCCCCCCCCATCTCTCAGGGGGCGTGAACGGAAACCCAATTGGACAATCGCAACTCGGTCAGTGAGGCGTGGGACCCGGAAAGCGGGCAGGCATTCGGGGCGGTCCAGGACCTGGTCCCCATGTTCTTCCTTTTCCAGTTGTTCCGCATCTCCGGCCATCGGGGGCATGGGAGATGGGAAGTCTGGACTCATAGTTCCACGAGGGCTTACGGTGTCAGCCTCATGGTGGATGTGCCCGTGCTGGCGGGGCTTCGGGGCATTCTTGCCTCCGGGCTCTGGGCCCTGGTGTGACGAGGAGGGACCGCCTCCCTGATTGGGTCCCCGTTTCCCCCGGGGAGAAGGGCCCCCAGGGGGGGCCGACCCCCTTCCCTTAGGTGGTTCCTTAGGGTTTCCCGGGAATTGTGAGGGGATCCGGATGTGCCCCGGCGCTGCGAGTGACACAGCGATGGCTTTGGCCAGGCCTGCCATCATATCCCAGGGGTATCTGCTGAGAGTCGAGGACTCGCTGGTGCCCACATGTGACTGATGTGTGCACCGCATTTGATCCCAGTCCTGGATTGGGAGATCCGTGGCAAGTGTGGTGGCCTTCTTGACCAGCTGGCCCAGGCGGCACTGGTCGAAGGAGATTGCTGTCAAGGAGTTTTCCTCCATCCAAAGCTGCCCCTCCTCCGTGATCCAGAAGGATGAGCATTCCTTGGCTTTGGGCAGCGAGCTGCTCACCACTGGGTCCTCCGGGTGCTCCAAGAAGGATTTTGGCCCTGGCAGCGAGGCCGCCGATCTTGAGGCCCTTGCCAGGCTGGTGATGTACATCTGCCTCAAAATGAGGGTACTGTCCTCATCAAGCTGAGTCTGGGCGGCCTGGTCCAGGTGTGGGAGGCCCCAAAGTGTCTCTCGAGTGCGTCCTCGCACCGGGGTGGGGGCCCCCGGTTTTGGTATGTGGCGCAGGATGGACCATGTCCTGCAGTTGGGTCCTCCCCCAATGAAGACCACTCGGCCCTGCTTTGCTGCCGTGCAGAGCGCTCCATACAGCTCGGGTTGGAGCATGTCGTGGTTCCCTTTTGGTCCGGATCGTAGGATGTCTACTGCCACCACCATGCTGGAGAGGTGCGGGTAGTTGGCATGAAGACAGCTGTCTAAGGAAGTTGGGTCTTCCTTGCCTGCATAGAGCAGGACAATGATGGGCCCACTGGATGGACTTTGGGCGATGTGCCCTGTGTCCATCTCAGCCGCTGTGCCAGGCGCTCCGGGATGTTCTCCATCCACGGGAAGGTGTCCCCTCCCGGTGACAGCTCCGTGGGACTTGTCAGGGGGGTAGCTGAAAGGCGTTGGCCCCCTTCATTCAGCCCAACAGAACTCTTATGAAAAACCACCGGGTCCTGCTTGATGATGTTGGGCGCCGGAAGTGGGACCGGCTGCCTCCTGGGCGTGTTCCTCGGCGTTGCGGTGTGCTGCCAGTTGTCCGGCACTCGGGCCTGCTGGGCGCGGCCCCCCGTGTCAGGGCCCTTGGCACCTGCGGGGAACCGTCCCGCCCCTGCCATCTCAGGGCCCTCGGCACCTGTGGCACGGGGCCGCGGCGTTGCCGTTGTGTCAGCTGTGTGGTTGTTCTGACCCCAGCTGGGGTGTTGTGCACGCTGGTTCTGTCGTCCCCATCCTTGTTCCGCCGAGGAGGGCCGCCGCCTGGCCTGTCCCCCCCCTGTGTCAGGGCCCTCGGCACCTGCAGGAGGGGGCTCATGTGCCTGCTTGGGGCGTTTTCGCCCCCTCTCGCCCCCCCGGGCCCTATCAGGGCCCTCGGCACCTGAGGCCTCCCGGGGGGTCGGGGTCCGAGCCCCTAGTCAACCCGGGCAGTCCTGCGGGAGGTGGTCTCCCAGGCAGATGCGGCCCGTCGCCAGGATGAGGTTGCACTTGTGCGTGCGTCCGCAGTTGCCCGGGCAGCGCCCGCGCATCCAGTTGTTACAGAACTGGTTCCCTTTCGGATCGGTGGCCGCCTGCTTGTTACTGCCCCTGGAGGCCTGATTGTTCGGCTGGGGGGGCTTACCTTTCCCTTTGCTCCCAGGCTTGCCCCTGGACTTCCCCTTGCCCCTGGACTTGTTCTTGCCCTTCTGGGGTGGTGCGTAGTCCATGGATGTCCTGGTCTGTGGGCGGCCCCTGGAGAAGGTCCTGATCTTCTCATAGACCTCACGTGTCCAAAACAATGTGTCCTGCCTTACCGACAGCATGGCCGCCTTGAGGGTGCTGCCCTCATGCATCTGCTCGTGAATCTTCCGCCATGCATTGCGTTCGGCAATTGCCAGGACGTGGTCCTCGGGAGGGGGAAAACGGCCCCCGATGTCCTCCCCATAGAACCACTCATACCAGCTCTCCAGGTCCTCTCGGGTGATGTCGAACTGGCCGAACTGTGGAAACGATAGGACGCACATGAGGAGGGTGTTCCGGAACACCGCGTGCATCCTCTCGAGCTGGTGGCGAGTTTTCGGCTCGCCCCGCTCTTCCACCTCGTCCTCCCGGTCCCAGCCATCGACCGTGGTCTTCTTGGCGGTCTTCCATGGCCGTTCTCCTGGTTCCGGGAGTGCGCTTACCAGGTATTTCATGGGGATGAAGCCGATCTCGCCTCCAGCGCAGAGCTTGAACTGGCGCTTCATCAGCTGGTCGCTTCCTTGCAGGGCCAACTTGGGTTTGGTGAGTTTGGTCTTCTCCTCCCAAACCCTCTCCAGCTGCCCCCGTTCGCACGAGACCGTGAGATTCGGGGCAGTGTCCCCGGGCGTGTGCGGCCCGGGTCCCGATGTTGCATGTGCCCCCACTCCCATGGATCGTTGAGCCGCGTGAACCACCTGGAACATCCGGGCCGCGATCAGCCGGGAGGTCACATCCGTGTAGTGGTTGTTGTTGGGGGCGAAGCCCAACTCCCTCGGCGCCGTCTCCCTTGCCCGGTCAGGCGAGTCCCACCGGGTCGCGAGGTCCTCCATCGAGACAAAGCCCTCATCCGACAGCGTCGCTTGGATGAACCACGGGATGCCCTTGAGGACCATGAGGTTCCTGGCGGTCTTGTGGAGCTTGGCCACTGCGTTCGCATACACTTCGGGAATCTCCTGTGGTGGTGCCACCAACTCATCCGGCGGCACCGCCATGGTGTGGGTGGGCGGGATTTCAGATTCCAAGACAAAAGGGAAGTGTCCACTTGAGCCAAAATGGTGGCCCAAGTGGATACTTACAAAGAGTCAAGACAAGCGACCACCTACGGTTAACACTTTAGCCCAAAGTTCATAAAAGGTGGGCTCTGTTCATTGTGTCACTCCTTTCTGGAAAGCTTGTGGTCGCTGTTGCTGTCGGCATCCACAAACCTCAGAGGGCAGAGCCAAAACTTGGGCCTTGCGGGTGGGTACTGGGGAAACAGGAGGAAAGAGGACATGTGTCCAGCACACGCACACGCACAAGCACACACACAGACAAACACACACACACAGACACACACAGACACACACAGACACACACACACACACAGAGACACACACACACACAAACACACACACACACACACACACACACACACACACACACACACACACACACACACACACACACACACACACACACACACACACACACACACACACACACACACACACACACACACACACACACACACACACACACACACACACACACACACACACACACACACACACACACACACACACACACACACACACACACACACACACACACACACACACACACACACACACACACACACACACACACACACACACACACACACACACACACACACACACACGCGCGCGCACGCGCACGCTCGCACGCTCGCACGCTCGCACGCTCGCACGCGCACATGCTTGCACGCTCGCACGCGCACGCACGCGCGCGCACCCGCACACGCCCGCTCACGCGCGCCCGCGCCCACGCGCACGCGCACTCGCACGCCCACACACACACACACACACACACACTGAGGAACACACGCACACACACACATGCATGGCAAGAACAGTGCGCACATTGCCCAATATTCACACAATGTCATCGACTTGCTGTTGTGGCTTGAGTTGGCCGGCACCCAGCAAGCATTGGACAAATTAAGGGTTGAAGTTTCAGACCAAGAAGATCAACCTCTTATGAAAGCTTGGGCTAGGAGTCTGGCGAACAAGGCCCCTCCTTTTGCCATCAGTTCCCAGGGCCAAGTCTGGATGGTTTCAAGTGGAAACCAAATACGGTAACCTGGTTGACTGGTCAGAAAAAGCTGGATTTGTTGGGCCTTGAATAAAATCCACCAACTGAAATCTAACAAAACATAAGCTTGATGTGTTTGAGCCTTGTGGATTTCCGTGGGACAAAAGGCACCTTTCTTGGTATTAAAGGAAAGCCCCCTCCCACAGCGGGAAAAGCACAACTGGAGGTGTGGGTGCTTCAGTAACTGAGTACCTTAATTGTCAGGCAACAAAGGAAGACAGAGAAAGGCACTGGAGGCTTGGGGTTTCCAGACAGAAGGAGCTTCTTGCCTCCGCTCAAAGTCTACCAACTCGAAAACAAAGATCCAGAATATCGGGGGCCACCGGAAAAACCACGGCAAAACAAGGTTCCCCATTTTTCACTCTAGCATCACCCCAAAGGAAGCTCATCTCCAATGGGCAACCAACAGGTGATGATTGAAACCACCAAAACGGGAAGCAGACCGGGAACCTGGTTAGCCCCCGGAACGCTCCATTGGGATGGTTCAGGCCTAGACCTGAAAACGACCTTCGACGAGTGCCGCTGAGCCCTGGCTCAATTAGCAGGTGCGTCGCTTTGCCGGGAGCGTACCTAGAGTCGCCACGACCCTTAAAAAAATGGCGTCATTACCCAACATAATAAGGTCATGGACCTATATTTAAAGGGTCATGCAGACTCCATGTATTTAAAAAATCCTCTGCACTATGGACCGCGGAACCGACCAGACTGCACGTGCTTCAGCCTGGAGAAGGCTGCCGCAGCCCGCGGCGGAAGGTTTGCCCGGGTCCGAGGCCCCGCGCGTGTTCCGCAAGGACTTCACCTTCGCGAGCTTCTCGCGGAAGGTGTCCAGGGACAGGACACACCTAGGCACCCCCACAGCACCTGGTTCAAAGGGAGCACGAGGAAACCCGAGTTGCAACAGGTTGTAAGTCTGGTGAGTCAAGTCTGGAGGTCAAAAGGAGGAACCAAAAGGATTGGTAGGGAACCCCAAGACAGAGAGTTTCTCATGTGGAGGCGAACCCCTATGTGTCAAAATAGGGGGCCAAAGAGATCCTTTCAAACACTTTCCCTTCTAACCAACCTTGAAAAAGGTAGCCGAGGACAGATCCCCTGCTACAAGTTTCACTTTTAGTGGGTGGGACGGAAACCGACACCACTAAACCAACTAACAAATAACTAAAAGTTTCAGGAACCAGACGATCTGCTGGGAACCACCAAGAAAATCACACACACACACACACACCTAAATCGCTGGGGATCGGCACTCATCCGGTTCGATGCGACCATTGCTGTTGGTGTCCATGCGCTTGAAGATGGCCTTGGCATGGAATAGAAGGCTGCGTCTTTTTGAACTGTTGGACCCCCCTTAACATGGTAGTTTTTGTGTTGGTGTCATGACTTCATTCCTGTAGGGGACATAGACAATTCCAGTGAATCCCCTAAGTCCCTTCTAAATGGACTTTCGAAACGGACTCCAGCTGGGTGCTAAAGGCGGGGTGTTTGGAAACAGAGCAAACCACATCACCCGTCCCCTGGTTTGCCCTATGGTTCAATGGAGAGAAAAAAATAAGAAGAAAAAAAACGTGACCTCCTGAAAAACAAAAAAAGGTCTAAAGATCCAACCCTTTGCAGCAAACAAGACGACCATTGGCCGGCTAGTAGCTGACCTCCCCAACTAAACCGACCACCCGTGACGCTCCGAGCCCTGGGCTTCAGCAGCGCTGTCCTCGGTCAGGGAAGTCTGCGGTGGAATTCATGTGGGGATTCACGTCCACCAACCACCTTTGAGGTGGTTCCAACTTTTAAAAAAAAGCAGGGCAACACACCAGTGCACAAGAACCCTGTGCAAACGGAACGGTTCCAAAAGGGGCCTGAATACCTCCACATTTGAGACGAATGGAAAGAAGTTCATCTTGGGAGTCCAAGTGAGCTTCTTTCCGTGTTCGGGGAAATTTGGGGCGGGTCACAGTCAGAAGACTTGGAACCTTAATTCATCAAATGGTTGATGAAGGGGGGCATCCCGTTTCACAAGAGATCCGGATAAGTTGGGCAGTTGGGGAGTTGCAGAGATCTGCGAGGCTGAGCCCGAGCCCGGATGCCTCCAAAGTTTCATTCCCTCAAAGCCAACCAGCCGTTGTTCCCACGCCACACACACTATTCTCTTGAGCCAGGCCAAAAGGCAAATGTTCTGAACTCACTTCCAGGCCAAAGAAAAAAGCACAAAACAAAACAAATTGATGACTCCCTGGACAAAACAAAACAAATTCATGACTTCCTGGCCACAGAAAGCCCAAACTATTTTGGTTGCCACTCAAGTGCGGTGAACCCCACTGCCCATGCGGAGGAACCGAGGTGCTGCCAGCAGCTGCTCGAAGCTGCGGATCTGAGACTTGAAGGCAGGCAAGGTGAGCCCCTCCTGCAAAGCGGGGCTTGGGCTTGGGGTTGGGGGGGCGTGGCTCGGGGTGGGGAGGTGGGGTTGGGCACAAATTGTCGGTAATGGTGGGGGGGGGGTGGTGTTATGGGGGGGGGTTCCATTTTGCCGCGAGGGGGGCGTCCAT